GGATGACTCTCCCTGCCCCATGGCTGTCACAGGGCGTTCCATCTTGGTTATGGACAGTTGTATTTTGCTGTTGAATCCCATTTCAACATGAATTGTGTTTTCCGGAGCGCTTGTCTCAGCTGATTGTCCTGCAGTCGAGAATGTAATCTTAGATGTATGTTGTCAATGCCAGTGTATTTAGCGTTGAATTTTTGGTTTGCTATAAATGTCACTGCCTCTGCGTGGCCAGTTTGAATTACTGAGGCTGCTTGCTTGTGGTGCTTTGTAACTTGTTACCCTTTTAACTGCCTTACTTTTGTAACACGGATGTTAAAATATAAGGTGTAAAGTTTTCCCTCTAGTACTGGGATGGCAGCACAGAATCAAACAGATTGTTGAAAATATTTCTGTTCTCCAGAGCACGTCTAGATCTCAGTGAAACTCTTAACTAAAAGTGGTGGTAGTTATGGAGTTGTACTGGCAATAGCAATTAGAGATTTACAAGTGCTTGTAAATGCTGCTATTTATAGGATGGGCACTTTATTTAACAAAACGCTGATCTTTCTCTGCAGCGGGAGAAAATGTCAGAGTGGAGTATTTCATCGTTGTGGTGGGACTGGACTATAATATCTGAAACAACAGCACTTTGTCCTTTTTTTTTTAAAAAAAAAAAAACAACAAAACACCTAGAGGCTTCAAATAGGCTTGCACATGGGGAATGGAGACAGAATATTTTAAATTGGAATATTAGCATTAAAGATCTGTGGGACTTTGCAGGTCGTAAGATGCCCGTCTGGTGAGACTGGGAATATGTATTTTTCGTTCTCAACCTGTTAACTTTGGTTATTGAGAAGCAAAATTAAATGCCCGGTTCCACTGAACTTCTTGCTGTGAAACTGGGAAAAGGTAATTTAAATGCATTTGATGACATGTTCTTACTTTGTGAGTAAATTTGTCCAGGGATATTTCTAAAAATTAAGAGGCGGTATGACAGTATTTTCATTAATCTTTCTCCTTAAGGGACCCTGTATGTCCTTTAAATACAACTGATGGATCCCATTTCAGTGAGTGATGGTACTAATAATGTGAATTAGGCTTAAATCCAAGAATAGAAAAAGCATTTATTTATTTATTTATTTTTACTGAATTAGTTGCGTGATCTTAGTTACAAAAGTTTCGGAGGAGGTTCGTTTTCCTTTGTGTTATTTTGATTGTGCTATAGTAAGTCTTATGTCCTTGACGGTATTAACACACATGGTTAAAGTATTCTTTTCTTCATACATGCCCAGTAAGTGATGGGATTAAATAAGAATTAACAGGGCAGATCCTATCAGCGACTCTCCAAGTGTTGTAGGGAGCAGCAGAAGGACGATTGCGTAGGATAACCGCCACGGACTGCTGTAGACTGATGCCAATATATGGTCAGTGAGGAGAGGAAGAAAAAAAAAAAAAATTTATTTTTTTTTTTTAAAAGAGTGAAACATTTAAGAGGGTGGGGAGGCCTTCGGTAGGAGGAATGAGAGAAATCTCAATTTGTGGACATGGGCATGGCGTTGTTTTGGGCAGCTCTGTGGCTCGCTGTGCCAGGAAACCTGCAGGACAGAGGAGTGTGTAGGCACTGGCAAAGCTGTCTTGTCAGAAGCTGCTAATATATGTAGCTACACGAATCTCTTCTTGTGTTTACATATTAAGGGTGTAATATATTTTTTTTTTATGCTGGTTGGAGATTTGATGCCTCTAAAGAAGGAAAACCTTGTGTTTATTTGGTAGCGTTCTATTGGAGTATTCTCGGTGTAAGCAGACAGGGATATTCACCGTTCAAGCCATGCTTTCCGAATGTTTTCAAGTTCATAAACCGTATTTTTGGGTTTGGGGTGGGTTTTTTTGTTTGGTTGGTTTTGTTTCCTTTTTTTTTTTTTTTATAGCAGAGCTATTTTTCTCTGCAGAATTCGTATACTTTCCACCCTTACAGAAGACAGATGGACTTGTTTGTCTGCTGTGAGGTTCAGCAACAGATTATAGATTATTTTGCTTTGTGTCACTTAAAACATTCTTATTTATGAGCAAGGAAGTTGACGATAATCATGTGATTCATGGTAGAAAAATTATCTGCAGGCTGCTGCTCCTGTTGTCCTAATAGGCTTAAAGGAATTACCACTGATGTAAATAATAGTTCTGTGTGCTGCTGGTGGGCAAGGCAGGGCAGGCAGACGCTAAATAGAAAGGGTGTGTGTTGGGTAAAGCCCTTCCCAAATGATTTTTTGCAAAAATCACACTGTGCAGTGAATAATCCATTCCGATTTCGAATGAGCAACGTTAATAATCTTTGTGGGGATAGATTGTTTAATTCCAACCGAAACAACACCTCAAGACATTAAAACTTTAAGGCTTGGTTTGTGCCTGGAGCCGCGTTTGTGTGTGCATCTCTGTAACACCCTGCGGTGGTTCAGCTTGGCCCAGGAAAAGAAAATTAAAAAATCACAGCTGCAGTTGTTTTGGAGCTGAGGAAGAAGAGCAGCGGGGGAAGAGCCTGGCCCTCGTGTGCCATTCTTCTCACGGAAAGCAGGAAGAATTGCAAAAGATGCTTCGGTGCCGTTGATGATGTGGTTTGTCCATGAGGAACGCGCCCCAGGACAGCCGAGGGGAGCGTGTCCGAAGCTTGGGGCACATGGAGGAAAACGGGGCCCAGAAAAGGTGACAACGTGGCTTGGGTCTTTGCTGAAGGGCAGGGGGGGACACGTGGGGGCCAGAGCGGCGTCACTGCGCCCACGGCAGCTCGAGGCTGCTCAGGGAAGGGGTTGATGAGCTGCAGCTGCCGTGGGGGATTTACAACGGTCGTAGTACGAGTACAGGAGTAACACTAAATATTAACAGCATCTCAAATTCTTATGCAATTTAGCGTACGGTTAATTTTTTTTTTTTTTTAAATTGCTTGGAACTTTTGTACATTGGCAACTTCACCAGATGGTATTTTATGAGAGAAGCAGGTTTATCTAAACCAAGCTGTGCATTTCCCAACCAAAACACAATGTCCAGCGTATGTCACAACACGATTTCTCTTTGTCGGACGTACAGCTTTTTGAAGTGCCAGGAGCTTTATAACTTTCAAAATTGGGTGATTATTTTTTTCCCCCCACTATTTTGTTCTCCTTATTTGAATACTTGCCTGTTTCGGGCCACATACCTGTTGTAGGGTATCGGAGCAATAGAGAATGTCAAACTCCAAAACCGACTTCGCTAGATCGTGGAGAAAAAAAATGGGGGTCCTGTAAAGCTGAAGTGTAATAAAAGGAAGGAACAAATATCATCAGAATGGGTAAGTGGTGGCTTAGGAATGCTGGCTGGAGAAATGGGTTGTGTGCCGTTAGCCAGGATTATGCCTCACGTTGTATACTCGCTGCCTTGCGTTCCGTTGAGGATCAGGTTTTATTCCGTTTAAGAAGCTCTGTGCCCCCTTCTTCTTTTCCGAAGAAAAAGAAGTACAGAGTGATGGAAGCAAAGGTATTTTCGAGTACTGCAAGACGGATGCTGGTTTTACAGCTTAATTTTTTGCTCTGTGGTATTTCCTGTTAGCGTCGCCCTTGTTTCAGCAAGTGTAACCATTTTACTTCTAGTGCATAACTGCCTTTCACGAAACCTTTGCATCCTTGGAATGTGAGAGCGTTTTAATCGGATTTTGATGGCGTTTCTTAGAATAAGGAGTGGGAGAGGGAGGAAGATTTCATTAAGGTCTGTGAGACTGTGGAAGGGACAGATTGATTCTGATAAGCTGATTTGGGTTAGTGACTATTTTGGAAAGGAGAGGTCATGGACTCGGAGGGGACTAGCACAGCGTGTAAGTGGTTGAGACAGAATTTCAAATGGATTGAAAGATGAAAGGGAGTGGGCAAGGTGAACGGAGTTCATCACCCCGCCTGAGAGAGGGAGGCATAAACACAAGGGACAAAAATAAATCTCTGCATTTTATGGTGCCAGTGTGGTGTTAGTCTATTCAGGGGACGCCGAAGGTGAAATAACCATTTTTTTTCTCAGACTGCAGACTCAGGAAAGCAATATTCTGTTGTTTTTTTTTTTTTTTTAATTATTCACATGCCAGGGGCTCCATATCCCACAGAATCTAGAAATGGGCATATTTGTAGGGTAAATACACGCCAAACTAGATCAGGCGACAGGAATCCAAAGGCTGCCCAAAAGTAGACAAGAGGATGGCAACACAAAATTGAGCCCCTAAGTGAAAGACTATGAAATACAGTATGAATTTCCTAAAAATTAAAAATATGAAAGCTTTTAAAGGGGGGAAAAAAACCCCAAAAAACATCTAACCTTACGTAGCCACTCGCATCTGCTGCAAAGTTTAAATATACTTTTTATTAGGAAAAATTCAGGTTACTTCTTGTTGCTGAAATTCTAACTGCTGCCGGTTTTCCCTCACCTCTGCAGTAAGAATATAATTAAAGCCAAAGTGAACCTCCTGCCTTTGTCGGCGAGACATTGGAAAAGCTTCTTTGTCATGGTAAAAGTTAGATTTTTTTTTTTTTTTTTTTTTTTTTTTTTAAATCGGCCGTTTCGAGGTCAGCTTCGCAGGTAGCGCTTTGCGTGCTGTTGGCACAGAACGGAGATTTACAATAAAGTAAATTACAGTAATTGAGCTGACAGTAATGCAGAGCTCTGTGTTTAACCAGTGACTGACAGCGCTTGGATCTGCCAGCAGCGCTCGCTTGAAACGTGGTTTTGACTATGTTCAGATTTTGGTCTGTTGTGCCCACCAAGTTATTTACCCTTCACCTCTCAGTTACACCTTCGGCTGGTAATTTCTTGTTGAATTTTTTTTTTTTTTTTTAATAACTGGCTGGAAAATTAGCGTTCTGCTTTATACAGTTAAATCAGGTGGCTTTACACTTCCAACCGGGAGCCAGCTGCTTTTCCTTAAAACGCTCAGGATTTTTGTCTCGTGGGGTATTACCTGTGTAGGTCGGGGTATGTGCCGTGCTTGAATCTGAACGCTCTTTGTTTATTTGCAGGAGAGAGCGCTGCCGAAGTGATCGTTTTCCACAGCTATCCATGTGATCTTGGCGACCGAGACCTCGTCTTCACTATGAGAAGTGAACCGGGTTGTATGGGTTGGTTGCAGCAGAAAATGCAGATTACAGTGAGTCGTAGCCAAGCTCCTGCAGATTTGTAGTATATATATATATATATATATATATATAATTCCATTGTTTAATTGGAGGCCTTAGCTAATAGACAACAAATAACACCTTCAGTCACGCCAATCTTGATATTTTTGTTAGTTTGAAAGGACGTGCTCCGTGCATCTGGCCATCTGTTTGTATTGTAAAAAGGAGTTGGTGTTTGTGGTGTCTGCTTCAAAAAAGAAATGAATCTCTTCAAATGTCTCAACCCTTGAAATTTACTTGACTCATGGGAACTTAGCGCTGTGCAGATGCTCTTGCAGGTTTTGGGGTGTGCTCTTTGGTTGGTCGGCCTAATCAATGAATAATGGTGTTTCTTGGTGGGTTTTTTTAGAGGAGGAGGAACAGTATGTCTTTCATTATGTGGTACACTCTGTAAACAGCATATCTGAAAGGCACCTTAATCTGAGTTTAGCTACCGTATGAATTTAAATTAGAATGATGTTATTTGATGTTCATGCTGACTCTACATCAACACTTGGTTTTGGTTTTTTTTCCAGATTCTTTTTCCTTGTTGGATTTTTTCAGTTTTGTTGAATGTATAACTACAACTATGGCAACAAGAGTAGAAATAAATTCTGCTTTGGCGTCTTTGACGACAGTACCTGACTTAAATGAAATCCGAAATGAGGATAAATCACAGCGTGTGTATGTGAGTGTGCTTTCAGATGCAAGTAACAAGACAAGGGAGGCTTCAGCATCACTAAACCTTGAAGAGAAGAACAAATTTGGGAGTAGTCTGAGATCCGCAACAATGCCGTCGCTAGGATCAAGGCCAAGACTGTTCCCAAAGCCTTTTTCTAAAGAGAAATCTTCAGATACTTTTGCAAATGTAAAACCACCTACTCCGGCTTTCCGATCAAGCAGTCTCTTTAGAAAGGCCGCTGAAGAAACATCGTCTGTTAAGGTATTAAGTGGAAGTGTTCCTCCGTTAGTAGATCAGAAAGTAATTGAAAATGGCAGTAAGTCTGGCAGTGAAGTGGTCACCAACATGACTTTCTACACTGGTCCCAGTGCGAATACTGTCATTCTTTTTGAGACAGCAGGCACAGAGCAATCAAAGGTAAGCCTGGCCCAAGAGAAAAGGGCTGCTGATGACCGCAGGGTGCTCAGTACTATGCAAACAAAAGAGCTTCAGTGCAGTGCGAAGCTGGAGAAACCATCTCAGCCACCCGAGGCGTTCAGGAGCCCTGAAGGGTCTCTCCACAGGCAGATATCGCTTTCCTCCAGCCTCAGACCAGTCTCTTGGAACTCCCTCAAAACGGGTGAAAAAAAAGACGCTTATGAAGTTCATCCGGGGGAGAAAAACAACGATGATGCAAATAATATCAACAGTAAAGTTGATTTCTCTACTGATGTGCAGCAAAGGCCAAAGCATAGACCAGTATCCGCTTTTTTTCTGGAATCATTACGAGATCAAAAGCATCGCAGCGTGGAAGCTTCGGAGGAAAAATCTCCTACAGAGAAATCCTGGGTTAGAAAACCAAGACCTCTATCCATGGACCTGACAGCTAAGTTTGAACATAAAGATCTTTCTTCTTGCAAGAAGACTTGTTCGTCTCGTGAAAGCAAGGAGAATGTATCGATCATTTCTTTAACTGATGTGAGCTGTCATGATCAGTCTGAAATGGGGCCAAAACCTGACGAAACTGAATTTAATAAAGGCAGTTCTTCAAAAACGAACTTGAAGTGCAGTAGTCAGGACGTTGGCATCTTAAATAGTGGAAAATACCTATGGGAAACAAAGCTTAAATCTAAAAGTGAACAAATTGAGACAAAGCCAGAAATAACGACTAATTTGCACAGTCCTGAAAGAAGCCATGAAAGCACTAGTGAAAGCAGAACTAGTAAGGGGGAGAAGAGACTGGGTGAAACGGAAACGTGTGTGTTTCTAGGCTGTGAAAGCCCTGCTGCTTCCTCAGAAAAAGAGGATAATATTATAAGAGGTAGTGTGAAAAAGCACATCAGTTTGTTTACTTTGGAAAATCCCAGTACCTCGGTGGATACGGAGCTGCTCCCATCAGCTGCTGAGAAGGAAAACAGATGTGTGAACATCCAACAGAGGATCAAAGAGCTGACAGCAGAAAACCCCGACGTTAAGCCAGGAAATCTACGCAGGTCACTTCAATCACGACCACTTTCTGCAGACTTAACCAAGATGTAGGTTGCAGAGAAATTGTATTTAATCCTCTTAACTTCATCACATTCAGTAAAAATAGCGCTCTCAGTACGGTAAAATAACGGATGATTTTGGTTCCACTAAATGTATTCTGTGTACTATTATTCTTGAGCCCTTTTCCCACCTTTTCATATGCCAAAAAAAGAATATTTAATGAAATATACCCCGACAACAGCTTTAAAAATAATAAAAAAGCTGTCGATATTGTGGCCTTTGCATGTTACTGTAACTGTATATCTGTTATTAACACTTCATGCATTTTGAAATCTTGAGGTGAGCATTGTAGGCTGCGAGCTCATATATTGGTGAGAAAGCAAAAGAATGGTTCCCGCGTCTTTGACAGCGGTGTAGAGTATCCGGTTTTCAGCCAGACAGGAATCTTGTTTCGCTGTCATGTTAAAGCCCAAAGTTCTGTGATGTTTATTCTGCCTGAGCTGCGGCGATGAGCAGTGTTGTTAATGTGAGATCTGCTAATTTTTACATACCAAAACGGGAAAAACAACCAAAAAAAAAAAAAATCTTGTCCAGTAAAAAGAGATTCACTCCAAGATAAAATACATTCTCTCGTTACAAAGTTGGGCGGTTGATTATTCAAAATCATAACAATTTGTGACAGGAATGAGGTCGCTCTTTGTGCACTTCGCAGTACTGTGTGAGGCCACGCTGCCGGGCTGGTGCTGGTCTGGATAATTCACCTTCTGTGTGTGATGACAAAGGGATGAGGCAAGAAGAATAACGGTTTTTTGGTAGCGCAAAGGAAGTGCGCTTTGTGTAGCGGACGCGGCAGATGTTTGGCAAACAGGACCTGCTTTGTCAACAGTGGAATTGGAGAGTTTTACAGCAAACCTTGGTCTTTGAACATTGTGATCAAAATAAGGAAAAGAAATTTGACCGAGGCATGAGAGTGTTGGTATCTCGCTGCCTCGTTACGTATCTCTGAATCTCATACAGTAAGCTGCGTAACTACCCACGTTTTGGGAAACAACAACCCTTTGGTCCAGATACAGTTAAACCACCAAATACTTGTGAAATAGTGATGTTTTGCCTTTAAGAAATATAATTTATTGGTTGATTTCTATGAGTCTGCTTTGGTAGGAAGCTAACTATCTAGCTAACTAACTAGCTGGATTAAAAAAAAAAGTAACAGAGGTCTTTTTGTCTTAGGTTTTCAAGTCCCGCGTCAAGCGGTGAAGCGAAGCCTGAGAAACCTGCTGAAACTAGAAACGACCCCATCAACGAAATGCAAGAAAATCAGAAGGTAAGAAAATGGCACCGGCTGATGTGGTCTCCGGCTGGGTTTGTGTTTAGAAGGCAGAGAGCGCTGTCCTGCGTGTCAGTGACCAGAGGATGGGTAAGAGTGACCCTAATCTAGTGGGTTTTCTCGGGTAAATCTGTCTTTAGCTGATAGGCTATAGGAGCATCGTGTCTGTTGAGTATTTAAAAGTTAAATACACGTGCTGTTAAATGCATGCAGTGGTACAGAGTGAAAAGTCTTTTCTAGGCAATTTTAAAGGGACTTTTAACACGTGAAAACCAATCGTGAATGGGCTGTGGCTGCCGTGGTTTTGTGCAGGGATTTATCCTTTATTTTTTTCTAAGCATAGCATCAGTGTAGTAGATTTCTGTACATCTAAGTCACAACTTCTTGTTAAATACATGCTGTATATTTCTGGGGAAATCTCCCAAATAACATTTACCTTAGAATTCTTGACATTACAGCAACTCAGAACTTGCTGTATAATAAAAGCCGTTAGGCTGGCTTCGTTTCCACACCACACTTCGGTGTCGCAAAACATAACTTCTGTGCTGACACTTCTTAGTATTGGTGACTTAATGCAGTTTTAAAGGTCTTTCTTGTGAGTTCTTATGGCTGTGCTTTTCCTGTCTAGGTTTAAGAGAGGAATATATGGTTAAGGAGACTAGTAGGTAGGCAGAAAATTTCTGTGGTTTAATATAATTTTAAAGATCAATTTGTTTTAAAAAGGAAATATTTCATTAGTGGAAGTGCTGTTTTCAGAGTCTGACAATAAAACAGGGTTAAAAAAAATTCCTTTGAATTCTTAGAAGAACATAGATCAGATTTAAAAATCTGTATTTATAGATGTTAGTGTTATTTTTTTATGTTCTTCAGCTTTTTTAGAGAGAATTTTAAGTCAATTCCAAGCTGTAAATGTAAATTTAAAAAAAAAATTGGAACTCTTGTAGGACCGGGGAGTTTTCTTTGACTCTATTTATTTGCATGCTGTGCTTTTTCAATTTACGTTATCAAAAATAACAGCTTTCAAGATGCTAGCTGTATTTCCTGCAAGTAGGTAATAGTAAAAAATTGGCAACAAGTGTTAATTCCTATTTTCTTTTTGCTTCAGCTCAGCGTTAACATTCTTCTCCGCTGAGCAGCTCCAGCTGTGATATTTACTCAGACCTTCATGTTCCTTGCAGTTACTGACCACGTAACTAGTTAGTGAACAGCTAGATGTGAAAAGACAGTTTTGACAAAATAGGGGCTATTTGGTGGTGTCCCCCAGGAGTTCGGACGTGCTCTGGAGGTGCCTACATCCCCGTGGTACTGCTCTATGCTTTGCTTTAGAACTCGAATTTCTGGAGGGCTTGCAACATAAATTGCCCATAAGTGTTCCTGTGGTAGCTGGGGTTATGAACCTTCTACAGTTTTGTACTATTTTTGCACGTGGAGTATGATGCGGGTATAAATTCAGACTAAAATGTCTTGTGAAATCTGAGCTCGGGAGCACAGAGTCATGCATTTCTCCTGGATCAACACTTCATACATTTTTCCTTTTTTTGTATTAAATATAAAAATCAAGTTTTGAGATAATTCTGTTATAGTCAAGATTCAGAAGCCGGAGCTGCACGTTTGTTTTAGCTTACCTTGGTCTCCGTGGATGTGTTTAACTTGTGCGGGCTGTGTCGCACAGAGTAGCACAGGCAAGTTTTAAAATAAACTTTATTGCACGTCTTCTAAATAAACCGTCCTAACCGTTGGATTTTCTTGTTCCAGAGTAAAGAGATCAAGCTTACACACGGCACAGACTTCACCGAAGCACATGCTGTTGGGAACCCTTGGAAACCCCGGCAGATTTTAAAAATGACAAATAAACCTGATCAGGTAGAGAGGAAAGAAAGCTTCCTTGGGGATGGTCCGCATCTTTCTCAGCAAAGTGAAAATTCAGTCTCATTCACAAGCAGCTTGGAAAAAAAATTAAAACCAACCACACTGCTGGAAAAGACCTACATGAAAACTGTCCGAGCCACCATGTTTGACCATAATGTTCAGAGGCACAACGTTGCTGCTGATCAGCTGGGAAGTGACTCTGCACCGAGAGTGAGTAACGAGCCCGAGGCAAAGCGCGAGGCGGTGACCTCGGGGCACGGCCGACAGCCGTGGATGGGAGGAGTGGAGGAAACCACTAGCATAAAGAGAGAGTATCACAAGCCATCTGATTCATCAAAACATATGGGAGATGCAGAAAAAAGTGGAAAACCAGCTTGTTCAAGTGAAGACAAGAAGGTGACTCCGGGAATTCTCTTAGAAAAATCTTTGGTTGAGAAGAGTGAAAAAACCACTAAAAATGTAGAAGACTCTCTAATTTACCAAAGAATAGAGCCAAGGTATGAAATCTTTCAGACGTGTGGTGAAAGGGCTCTTAGCGAAGCCATTGCAATGGCTCCTGAAAAAAAGGCCATGACACTCAGAACTAGAAAATCGTCTGTGAAAGAGAATAAAAACGATGAGGATGTCCTACGCGCTGCTCAGTCGGCTAGGGCGAATAATAAAACTCTCTACCTGAAAGAAGGTAACGTTTCAGAAGTGAGAGACACAAAAGTTTTTACAAGCAAGTCTGCGGTGAGAGAACCTAATGACTTTTTCTTCAGTGAATGCACTTCACCTGAACAGAAAAAAGACTCTGCTAGAACTGACGCTGATCCAATACTAATAGCTGAGAAAATACCTTATTCTACAAACAAAGGTAAATGTTTGGGAGTGAATGAAAAAGTAGACAAACTACTTTCTGAAATTAAAAATGATAAGAGTGAAGTCTCTTCCATGGATAAAACGGAGAGGTCTAACATGATGAAATGCTCCTCCGAGAAGAGGAGTTTTAGGCCAGGTGGGACAGAGAGCTACGAGTTCAGAGCCAACTTTGATCGTGAAGTTATTTCAACAAGCGTAAATAAACATGGGGCCCAGTCTTCTTCGGTGCTTTCCAGTGGACAATTTTGTAAATCTTCCAGTGGCCACCATGCTGATACGAAAGTACTAACCATTTGCAAAGAGGAATCTAGGGCCTTTGGTTTGAGGAAAAGTCTAGACTTCAATTGGAAAGAACAAGACTTCAGCTTAGATAGTTCAGCTCATGAAAACAGCGAAAAAATCAGAGTGATAGATCCAGAAGAAAAAGTCAGGAGAACCAGAAGCAGCGTTTCTGACTTGAAGATTTCGGAAAGGTGGAGGAGGAGGACCTTGCCTCGGGATTCTACCAAGACAGAAGAAGTCATCACTCCTGAAAACAGCAAAAGGCTGAGTCGGACAGATTCACTGCAATTGGATGAAGGTTCAGTCAAAAAGAGAAGCAAAAAAAGCAAAGAAGGGCTGGAAGGGAATGAGGCAAACCAAACTGTTCTTGGCAGTCCTGAGGGTTACTTGAAAAACCAGAGTTCTACTTTTGAGCCAAAGGCAACTTATTTTGCAGTGACTTATCAGATTCCTGGTAACAAAAAAGAGAAAAGCTTTGTTGATGCTGCTGGTGCAAGTCAGACAAATACAATTTCTAGCTCAAGTGAGGGCGCAACAATTAATCTGGACCCTGTTTTTCCTGGAAGGTCCAAACCTTTATTGCAGCAACCAAATAAAAATTTGACGAGTGCAAATTGTAGAGAAGACTCACGGGAAGTGCATAATAACAAGGATTGGGTCAAAGAAGAAGACAAAGATGATATTTTTTTCAAAAACGTTGCATTTGGTAATTTTCATGTATCTAGGAGAGGAAACCAGCAGCATCACGAAAGAGGTCTGGATCATCCTACGGAAAGAATAATAGATGTTGATGCTTTCCTGTTAAAACAGGATCTGGAAAATACAGCTCAAACTGATCTCAAAAGCAGCAGCAGAAAAGCCTCCTCTTACCATGAACTCAGATCCCCGCTGCATTTTGCACAGTTACATAAAGACAGTGAATTAGTCCCCCAGAAAAAGAGCGAAAATAATTACGATGTATCTGAAAGGAAGGTTGAGGGTGGTTTCAGATCCCAGATTCTTGATGTCGATGCGATTATGGCAGACTATAAAGAAAAATCAATGAAGGCCTGTAACGTTCAGGACAGGCTCTCTGATTCCTTTCAGAGGGAGAAATCAAAGAACAAAAGAAACGTGTCGGATAGGACAACTTCTTACAGCTGGAAAGAGTGGAAGGGATCAGATCATTATTCTGGTGATAACAAACAAGGTGACTACGCAGAAGAGTACCACAGGCCAGAGAAATTAATTCTAAATGAGAAGAGCAAAGAGAGACTGGAATCATGTAACCCTGAATTTGATAAACAAAAGTCCAAAGATAGAAAGTTCAGCCCTCCTTACTGGGGAAATCCTAGCGGCTTCTTTTCAGATAAGTTTGTAAATTCCCATAATTCACCTGTGGAGTTCACGAGGAAGAAAACTTTCATCATTGATGAGGATGAAGACGTGAACTTAACTTCCAGGAATCAAAGTCCCAAATTTGTAATTGATAAGGTGCAGTCGATAAATGCAGTTGCTACAGACCAAAGGTGGGAAGTTAATTTTGCTTCCAAGTTGTCCTTAAAGGCAGATGATGGCCTCTTACAGAAGAAGTTGGTCACAAAAGAGCAGTTCTTGGAGGTGTCTCCAGAAGGAGATCGGAGCAGAAACGCGGCAAGGAGCTCTGTAACCAGGAGCAAGGACAACGCAAATAAGACGACGCGCGAGAGCGACTGTTCCAATGGGAAGATTAAAACTGAGTGCAAGAACTACACGTCTGGGTTAGGAAGTGCAGCCCCGGATTTGAGACGATCCTATTCAGAAAAGAGCTGCCAAGGAAAAAACAATCTACCCCTTATGCAAGAAGTAAGGGGAAGGAGGGATCTGCACCGATGCAGGCAGAGCTTCCCCTTGGAAAGTGCCGATACGGGGTGGAAACACAAGATGTCATCCCAGGTGGAGTCATTCTTCCAGGAGGATAAAAAGGTATTACCAAACGGCGTCCTAGTGTTTCCTGTACCTAAAATTGAAAGCGAGGAGCAGCTTTTATTGTGCCTCTGTTCTGCTTCTCAGCACTCGCTGGGACTTTGCAGCACGTGAGCAGATACATGCTTCTCAAATTTCCCTTTGGGTTGTGTTTTCTGGAGGAATTTGTGTTGTGCCAGATGAGTAGATGTTTGTTTCACGTGTGTAAATATTTATTGATGTTTCCATGGAGAGCTTGAAAAAACTTTGAAACGTGCATATTATTTTATTAATGCTATGAACTGAGGATGTTATATTGCTAACTCAGCATTTTTATAATTATTTGAAAAGAAGTCGCTTGGGTTTAATTTATAAGTTGTCAGCAGTGATCTTTTTGGAGTTCCTTTGGTGTGGGTTGTTTTTGTGTGTGTGGGTTTTTTTTTTTCTGAAGGAAGCACATATATTTTTTTACTGGGTGAATGGCCTTCATTTGTATGTGGAAGTTCACTGCTGATAGTGCTTTGGTGCAACACTAGTGATTCCCTGAACACGGGAATGCATTAATGCATCGCCAGTCGGAGGCTGATGGTTATTAATGTTCTTCCATTTTGTGTTTCAAGATACAAACTTCCTCTAGTGTTGGGTTGTGGGTTGGTTTTTTTTTTTTTCAAAAGGGCATTTTTTACACGCAGGTGTATGCATGTATATGTAACAACGTACGTAACTGTATTTTAACAGGCTTCTAGGAAAGAGTGGACCAAGCAGAGTTCAGACAAAACAGATGGACCAGAATTTCCACTGGTTTCCGCTCAGAGAAGCCGGCACAGTTTCTATAAGGACAGAAGGGCAGACAACGGGCCGGTACGTTGTTGTGGAGGAGGTTCTTGGGCAGGGGCTGGGGGAGAGGTACGGGAGATGCACCGGGCTTACTCCATTCAGCTATTTTTGCACGTATCGGTGAAAGAAAATCTGTGTCTTCCTAGCAGAAGGAGCAGATGCACTTGCTGTGGAGTTTAGCTGGCAGAGAAGGCTTCTCCCTGAGGTTCCACCACACTGCTCTGTGCCAAATCTTCCAACACAGAGCATTGACCGTGCAGCTTGTTCGCTTTCTGAGCAAAGAATTTTCATCCTGAAAACTTAAGATGGGTCTAGATCGTTATGCTTTTTGTTTGCTTCTCAGCTTAGATAATGAAAACTGGTTAGATTCCAGAAAATCTTTTCTGGAGGATTGTGCAGACAAATAGAACCATGTCCTAGCCTGAAAAGTGATGGGTTGAATTTTTGTTCTGTTGGCAACACACAGAGAACTATTTAAGTTATGAAGAATCACAGCTGACATTTTTGGTAGCCTGATTTGTCTCTAATAAGCAAACTTTTGGGGTAAATTCCCACGTAAAGTTTTTGGGTGATACTCTCAGAAGTAGCAGAAAGATGTCCTGTCTTCAGCCCACAGATTAATTTTGTGTTGGGAAATAGTATCCTCTGTCCAGAGGTTGTTCTGAAATACAAAGCTAAGATCTGGGTTTTCTGAAGGTCACAAAGCAAATGAAATATCAGCACTTTCCGTGGAAAATAAACGGGTTAAAAACCACAGCAGCAGCAGAGAATTATGAGAGAGACATTGCTGCTGCTGCTAAAATCCTTCCTTACTGGAAGAACTTGTTTGAAACCACTGCAAGTGCTGTGGGTTGTTTTGGGTTTGGTGTTTGTTGTTTGTTTTGTTTTTTTTTTTTTAACCTTGTGCACTGGAATAATACTGTGGTCATTTCAGACCTTACTCTTCTATAACTTGATGCATCCGTATTTGCAGTTTTTGAAAATCTGGATGTCTTTTCACAACTCTTCCACTTGTATGGGAAAGGGGTGGCTGGAAGATGTTACCGTGCTGTCCCAAGGTCAAACCTCATCTGTCTGCTAGCACACTCGTGTGGTGACTGAATGTATCGCCCTCTGCAGAGACCCGGGTTTGTAGTTACCCAATGCTGTTATTTACAGCCCTTTCATAGCGAATAGACAAGGAGGTAAAAAAGGAAAGGAACTGAGCTCTTTTTTTCCTCTTCTAGTGAAGAAAAACAGCCAAACCCATACGGATTTTGTAAACAGTTTTCCTAACGGGAGTTTTGGAAGCAGGGCTCATGCTGTTCCATTCTAGTCTTAAAAACTTGGCAGAAGGTATCCAAGGGCTGTGATATCCCCTCGTCTTTCCCGTGGTCTTCATGCTGAACGCTCATCCTGGGGAGAGTCTGGGTTATTTACAGAGTTGACAATCATAATTTAATCCCTAAAAGTTGTCGCGTGCCGTCAGTTTAGCGCGGGTATGTAAAGGTGTCGTTGACAGGGTGGAATATGTGGGAGAAAAGCGCTGTCAGAACTAGTGCTGGGATAATTGAACTATTCCGGTACTGTACTCCGATAAACATGACTGTTGTTCTCCAGCTGGGTCGTTAAGTGTGAGGTTACTCCGAATCACCCTCTGGCTTCATCAAGTACAGCCTGAGTCAGGAAAGGAAGGCTGTCAGCCCTCCTGAAAGAGAAAACTCCCCTGTCCAGCATCCTCCGGAATTCCTTAGGACCCAAGTGCTCTGCTCCTGCGTCTGGCTGTGAAAAGCCTGACGGCGAGGCGCTGCTTCTTCCGCAGTGCCACGGTAGCAGCAAGGGCGGTCTGGCCTTCGCGCGTGTAAATCCTGAGCGAGCAGGTGCAGAGAAGCAATTTTTACGTGCATTCGGGAGGAGACTCACCGCACCTCCGTGTTTTCCAAAGCCCCACGTAAATATTGCAGGAGATGGTGTAAAAACCGAACCGTTTCTCCAGGCACCAGGGTTAATACCTTTGTTTTCATTCGGAGAAAAATCAAAAAGACTTTCGCTGTGCTGTGGCTGCTCTCACCCGTGCGCTTCAACACTTCCCTCTGGTGGAGAGCTGCGTTGTCGCTGGGTTTGAGTTCGAGGGATGCCCGAGGTGGAGAGAGATCCAGAGGATCCCGGTTAAGTGACATAACTTCCTCTTAATTTGAATGTGGTCTGTGTTTTGCTTTGAACACCTTCTGAAAGAGGGTTAGAAGGGAACAAAACCTGTTTTGTTTGAACAGTTTCTAGTCTTCTGTCCGTTTAGCTGGGAAATCTCTCCCTTTTTCTTGGGGCATAGTGGCAAAAAAAATGCTACAGCACGTCTCAAGATATCATCATCTTTCAAACTGCTAATTGTAGCTTAGTAGTTAAACATTCTATTCCAACGTATTTTTCCTTTCCATTCTCACTCTGATACAGCCTGATTCTAGTGAAGAAGGAGGTAGTTTCAGATTGAAGGGCTTCACCTAGTAGAGGATTAAAGAAAAGAATAGAATTTATGTGAATAGATAATTTCCTCTTTGCTTTGCTAGAGCTAACAGTATCGAGGAGACAAAACTTTTCCCTGCCCAGTTAAGAATTTACTCCTTCGTGAAGTCACATACTCTGTGTGTTGTGCTTTGGCCCTGCCCGCATCACGATACAGGTATAAAAATAAAGTTGGTTTTATGTTTGCTCCGGCCAACTGGGATTTTAACTCTCAGAATTACCCACGGATCTCTCTGAGTGTCCGACAGGCAGCGAGCTCGTCTGCATGGCTTAGTGCCCCAGGCTGTCGTAGGGGTCTTTTCCCTTGGAGGGACTGTGAGCCCCCGGTGTGACTACCCGTAAAATAAAACGCTCCCTGGTTCTGCAGCCCGTTGCAGACCTCGGGGCAATAAGCACTTGGTGCTCCCGAGAAGGCGCCGTAACCGCAACGTGCTGCGGAAACCCCCTCAGTTTCAGAAGAGGTTTTCGAGAGCTGTCTGTCACAAATGGCAATGATTCCATCACAGCCGGCAACAACAGGTCTTTAATTCTCTGACGTTCGGTCGCAAACCTCAATTCCTGGTTGAGTCATCAAGACTTGATAAGTCTTTATGAGTTAAAAACTGAGGAATGTGCGATGGGCTCACCTCCCAGGTAGAAGCAGCTGTGTCTGCGGAAGGGACTGAGCCTCCCTCTGGAACGCAACTGGGGTTTATAACCAAAGCTGCTGCTTTGGGTAGCTAAACCAGAGCGCTCTGGTACTAGAACTGGTGTAGGCACGAATTATTTTGAAGCCTCTGGCTATGCGCTTCATTTATTTTATATTAAACTTCGGGGGGGTTTTTGTCCTCTGGTGAGGAAAATCTGGTATCCGTACAAAGATGCACGTATTTGTGATGTGTGGGTGGGAAGGGATTTGTTTAAGAAAATCATGAGCTGACTCTTAAAAATATTTTGGAAATTAACTGCAAGGGAGAGAAGATAAATATTTTCTAAACACCTGCAGATGAATTTATAGTTTGGCTTGTCGCAGTTGACCAGTTGTTTCCAGTTGTGCCCACGACAGGTCTCTCTCCTGCCCACCACAAAGCAAGCCCCCTCATCTTCTGATCGTAGAAAGCCTCAAAAATTGCAGCTTCACTCCTTTCCGGATGGAAGCAGATGCACTGAACAAGCCATCGTGTGTCAATTATTGCCTAAAAACTGAGTCAACCTGGACGGAAATCAGAAGAATTTGTCAGCTCTGCAAGATCTTACAGGAGGCCGCTAGAAAAGCAGGGTGTGTGTGGGGGGGGTATTTTTCTTCAACATCCAGACCCACAATTGCAGGCAAAGGAGGCTGTGGCGTCCTGGAAGGTGTTTTGTCCCCTCTCAGGTGAGGGCCTGAGGAGTGCGGGGCTGTGGGGGAAGGCGGTCGGTGTCCTCCGTGGGTGGCTCCCTGTCACCTGGCTTTCCTTTTCCCATCCAGAAAAGGACGGAGGCCACAAAAGTGGGAACAGATAGGAAGGTTACGGTTCTCATTTTTTGCTCTTCACAAAACACCTACCATCGTTTGATCACTTAGCTCTGCTTCCTATTTCTCAAAACAGCCCGGAGGAGGATGACCCAGTGTTGGTTAATAACTCGGTTTGCCCAGACTTTCTTCCTTTTTTGGTAGTATTCGTTTGCTGGGAACGTTCCCGGGGTATAAAAAAAGACACTTTGTTGTGTCTATTTCTTCTCATTCACAAAAGACATTTTTATATTAAAAGCAGGAGCTTTTCTTTCACGTGTGGGGTTTGTTGTTTTTTTTTTTTCTTGTACATTACTGAAAAATAAGGTCAGCTAGCAACCCCGACAACTGCGGTGGCGTTAATAGCGTTTCATAACCCAGCCGGCAAAACACCGAGTGTTTAGAAGCTTCTCTTTCCTTCCAGATGAAGGGCTTTTTAGTGCGAAACCCAAAGTACTATTATTAATTCTAGACTAACGCGTTAGGGATTACCGAGATGGGAGAAGTCTGAGCAGTTAGATCCTAAATAACAAGTGGTTAAGTCACATGGTGCCGGTAGCTCAGCTACTGCTTATAAGTAGCCACAGCATCTGTTAAAGGCACAGAGCTCGGCGTGCTGACGTGGGGCCGGCTAAACAGACACTCTACATTATTCATGTTGCTTTTAATTGCTCCCGTCTGCTCTTAACTTCTGCTGGAGGCAGAGAGGAGCGGGGAGGCTGACTCTAACGAAGATGGTTTTGCGTTAGCTTTGAGCTTCGGAAGATGGAGTATTATTACTGTCCGCGCTTGCTGAAGTTTCTGCAGTATTTGTGGGTGAGTGCGCTCCTCGGTGTAATTGTGCTTGCCAAGCTGGGTGTTTTTAACTGTTTTGAGAAATCCTGAGGATGTTCATGTGTAGGGATGGCTTTACTTTGCCGTCTGTCTGAAGAGTAACATTAAACCCGGGATTTATTTTGGGTGAGAGAGGCTGTTTTATCTTTAACGCTCACTTAAAACGGGGAGAGTGCAGACTGCTTGAACGCACCTCAGAAAAACCCCCTCGGTAACTGGA